AGCTTGCAGCTCTGCTTACAGTTATATTAACACACAGGTATATTAACTTGGCCAGAGTCGCCAGAAAGTCCACTGTTTGCCATACCTAATGACAAAAATCAAAACTCTAGTTGCTGCACAAAACACGACGAATTAAATTGTAATATTAGCCATGCTTCAGATTGGACTCGACTTCAAACAAAAATGAATTACTCAACAACTTAACAAAAAATTACGCAATAATAATAATAATCTTTATTCATTCTTGGAGTATACAAACAGATATAAAAATATACACTTATGCAACTCATAAGATTACTCAGAAAAAAAACCGAGAGAGGGGGTGAGAGGGGGGGGGAGAAAAGAAAAAGTACCTACACATTTCGGTACACATAAATAAAATATACGTAAAAATAAATTACTCCTAAAAATTTATAAATTCATTTACCGATTAAAATACCGTATGATAGAAAAAAAAAACGGCGTCAGCGATAGCAATGAAATGAAGATCGCTGTAATTTTATATGGGAAATGCCAACGATCGTATTTCCAAGCCAAGTGGGCGCCGTTTTTTTTTTCGATGACACAGTACATTATCTAATAAGAATCTTCGCAATTTGTTTTTATAATTATCCTGATCCAGTGGCGCATCTAGAGATTGAGTCTGGAAGAGGTAATGGATAATACTTAAATAATAAAGTAGGTACAGTTCCTCTGCTCTGTGTCTATGAAAGGAATGCGAACAAAAAAACATTTAATTAACAGCAATATATTTTATACGTCGACTTGACGAGTACATCACCGCAAATCGCTCCGCCCACTTATTTTATTGGCTACTTGCAAATTTGTCGAATTTTTATTGATGGGACGCGTCGTCTAATTTTTTACGAAAAACATGGAGAGAATATCGTTTCCCCTCTCACGGATACCCCGTAGCCACAGAACGGACACACGTACTGTATCTACTAGATTTATATTAAATTTTTGCCGAAAGTGTGTTGAAATTATTGTGACTGCGGAAAAAGATAATCTTGGATTGGCCTGAATTTACTATTTTAATTGGCTTTATTAATTTCTTTTATGGCAATTTTATTTATACAACATTTTATCTTATTTATAAATTTCTTTCTGGGAGGGGTCCTGATCCAAAGTTGGCACAACTTTAGAAATAGTAATCTTATTAAAACATGTCATGCCTAAGTTCCAAGTACCTAAAGGTTAATTCTCACTATATCTTCCGTTTCCATTCCATATCCGTTCCGTATTTTTTATTGTATTGACGCTATACGTAAGCTTCCGTTCCATATCAGTTCCACACTTTTTATTGTACAATTTATATTATTACGAAAATTTTATTTTAAAATTTTGTATCTTTTGAAAATGGTAATACCATGCACAGTTTAAAGAATATATTAAGATTTAATTAAGAGGTGAAAGAATAAATAAATATCAGCAAAATGTTAACAGTGAACAGGGGCGCATATACGGGAGGGGTAATGGGGGTAATTACCTCTCCCAGAAAGAAATTAATTTATTTTAATTATTTCTTTCGAAAATCGACAACTATGAAACTATGAACCCTTCCCGGACACAAACGGTACTACCTGTGAGACAGGAAATTGTAGAGAGAAACAAGCCCTATAACATAGGATACAACATTTTAATGAACAGTGCTTTCCATAAAATCAATAAAATGAAAAATATACGAAATAATATACATGTACTGATTTCTTTCGAAAATCGACAACTATGAAACTATGAACTCTTCCCGGACACAAACGGTACATTGTGAAACAGGAAATTGTAGAGAGAAACAAGCCCTATAACATAGGATACAACATTTTAATAAACAGTTCTTTCCATAAAATCAATAAAATGAAAGATATACGAAATAATATACATGTACTGATTTCTTTCGAAAATCGACAACTATGAAATTATGAACTCTTCCCTGACACAAACGGTACATTGTGAGACAGGAAATTGAAGAGAGAAACAAGCCTTATAACATAGAATACAATATTTTAATGAACAGTGCTTTCCATAAAACCAATAAAATGAAAAATATACGAAATAATATACATGTACTGATTTCTTTCGAAAATCGACAACTATGAAACTATGATCCCTTCCCGGACACAAACGGTACATTGTGAGACAGGAAATTGTAGAGAGAAACATGCTCTATAACATAGGATACAACATCTTAATGAACAGTGTTTTCCATAAAATCAATATAATAAAAATATACCAAATAATATACATGTACTGATTTCTTTCGAAAATCGACAACTATGCAACTATGATCCCTTCCCGGACACAAACGGTACATTGTGAGACAGGAAATTGTAGAGAGAAACAAGCCCTATAACATAGGATAAAACATTTTAATGAACAGTGCTTTCGATAAAATCAATAAAATGAAAAATATAGGAAATAATATACATGTACTGATTTCTTTCGAAAATCGACAACTATGAAACTATGATCCCTTCCCCGACACAAACGGTACATTGTGAAACAGGAAATTGTACAGAGCTCTATAACAAAAAGGGAATAAAGGGAAATAATGTATATATGTAAATAATATAACAAAAAGGGAAAAAGGGAATAAATAGAGAAACAAGCCCTATAACATAGGATACAACATTTTAATGAACGGTTCTTTCCATAAAATTAATAAAATGAAAAATATACGAAATAATATACATGTACTGATTTCTTTCGAAAATCGACAACGATGAAACTATATGAACCCTTCCCGGACACAAACGGTACATTGTGAGAAAGGAAATTGAAGAGAGAAACGAGCCCTATAACATAGGATACAACATTTTAATGAACAAAGCTTTCCATAAAATCAATAAAATGAAAAATATACGAAATAATATACATGTACTGATTTCTTTCGAAAATCGACAACTATGAAACTATGAACCCTTCCCGGACACAAACGGTACATTGTGAAACAGGAAATTGTAGAGAGAAACAAGCCCTATACAGGGGCGCATATATACGGGAGGGGTAATGGGAGTAATACCCCTCCCAGAAAGAAATTAATTATTAAGATGAAATTTGGTATAAAATAAAATTGTTACAAAAAAGTTAATAATACAAATTAAAACAGAATATCCAAACCAATCCAAGTAGATTTTTTCCACAGTTACAATACCTTCCAACAAAAATTTAATTCAAATTTAGTACTTTTTTGAATATTCACACTACCCCTCCCAGACTCAATCTCTAGATGCGCCACTGACAGTGAGGTACAAATAATGTAAGAATTTGACAAAGCTGTTTCCGATACGCTTCAGTCCGTCCGTCAAAAAAATGCTTGGAAGGAAAGGATATGGAACGGAAGGGAAACGGAACGGATAGTGTGCATGGTCTTATCCATTAACATGATATAATATTTTATGTAAACGGAAGGGAGCTGATATGGAAGGTATAGTGAGAATCAACCTTATGACGGTGCAATTAAATGAACTTAGGTTAGGTTAGGTATCATGTTTTTCCCCTGGATCTAGGATTCAGAACCGGGAAATCCCGGTACCGAAAGTACCAGAAATTCCCAGTTCGTTTGAGACATCAAAGAACAGGGACCCGAAATTATTAATTCCCGGTTCTTTCGGTACTTTCGGGACTCGGTAATAATAATTAAAAACATAGTTTTTGTTACGTGCGAAAGACTTTTAAAACTTTCTAGCGGTCGAAATCGAACTCTTCTATATAAGTAGTGATGCTATCTCTTACTGTTCTTACTTCTGAAGTTATACATATAATGTTTATTAGCAATTATTGAAGTTTAAAAATGTTATTTTATTATTATTGCTGAATGTATTAGTTATATTCTTTTGTGTTACTGTTTTGTTATATTCTTTTCTGTTATGATTTCCATCTTTAATTGAAAACGTTAAGTTTTTTTTTCTAATTTAGTTAAGTTGGTTTCGAGGTTGGTTGATGTTGTTTGAAGTAATTTTTAAGCTACCTATGTGTGTTCTCTTTTTTTTTACTTGTATTCATTATTTGTGTTCATGTTTACTTTCTCATGACTTAATAATTTGATATCATTTTCATTTGAAACTCAATTTTTGATCGGTCTTACTTTTGAGAACCATTCCTTGCTTGCTAATTGACGAACTCCACAATCGTTGAACAAAAATATTTTTTCACTTCATTTATTGTTCAGATCTTTTTGATCGTCACAGAACCGGACTCGGTAACAATAAATTAAAAAAATATTTTTTTGTTACGTGAGAAAGTCCTTTCTTCGAAAGATACTTTCTAGCGGTCAAAATCAAACTCTTTTAAATAAGTAATAAGCAATGATGCTATTTCTTATTGTTCTTGTTTCTTTTCTATTTTGAAGTTCCTATAATATTTATTATGTTATGTTTTAATAGATATTTGCATTTTTAATTCAATATTTTAGGACTTTTGTCTCAAATTCACTTAAGTTGGTGTATGTTGTTTGATGTGAAATTTAAGTTACCTATACTTTTTCCTTTACTTGTGTTCATGTTAATTTCATGACTGACTACTTAATAATTTGATATTACTTTCATTAAAAATCTCATTTTTTTATCCATTTTACTTTGAAAAGCCATCCCTTGCTTTCTGATTGATAAACTGTACCACCATTGAACAAAAATTAGTCAGTACTGAAAGTACCGAAAAGGCCGGAAAATCCCGGTTCCTAAGAGGCGCGGTACCGAAATTCCCAGTTCCGGAAACTCTACCTTAACCCTTTAAAAAAATATTTTCAAATCTCTATTCAAAAAATTAGTGGGTAAAAAAACGGCCTACTAAAAAGTATATTATATAATAATTGAATAGATATTATTTAAAAATAATATAAACCACTCATACGAAAAAGACAAAAAATTATCTAAAAAAAATAAAAACTAGCTCGATAAATAGTATACCTACATAATAAATTGAGATGTTTAAAAAAGGAAAAAGAATTTCAATAATTCGGTTAATCGCACCATAAAATCTAAACAACATCCAAAAAAACATACCTTCAAGGCTGCAATTAAGATCACACACACAAAAACACAAAAAATATTCAGAGCGATACTGTTTTGCACAGTAAATTTTCACTTTAAAGCAGCTGAACGTCCGTCGATTCTACTATCGTCGGAATATAATTCCTCGCTGTCTATACTGTTTTTGCTGCTGTTTTTTGGCTTTATCCGGATTGTTATCAATTTTTTGTCCACACAAGTTCTCAACCAACTTGAATTTAAAATTGATTTATCTTCGAAATGTATTTTTGTGTAACACCGCCTGATGGGATGTTACTTGAGAGTTGGCAATAATACGGGTTGAAAAAACACACGTCCGTAGCACTTTTTACCCGAAACGACTAGTGGCAAAACATGGCCCGCGACAAAAACATTAATGCACAAAAAGTCCCTCTCGCACACGACCACGTTGGGTAAAAACTGACTTTGTTTTTTGCGAAATCTCGGCCGGCTGGTGCCGTTTTTTCAACGCGCGGAAAACATAGCAGGCCTACGAATCGCAGAGGCCACGTTTGCCGACTGTAGCAGGAAACGCGGCAAGCGCGCCTTCGCGGCCTCTTCGGCCGTCTTCGCGCTCTAGCTCCGCCCACCGCCGGGCACACAATGCAGGCGGCAGCGCGCGGGCCAGACAAGGAAAGTGAACGAATTGATTGTTTTTTGCGCCGCTCCGACGATAAAGAAGGATTTACGAGCGACCGGCCGGGTCGGAAAAGGACGGCCGCAGATGTGGCCGGAAAAAAATAAATAAATTATGGCTAGGTTTAGCGGCCGGAATCGGACGAGTTAATTCTTGGCGGGACGGGATTGTTTTCAGTAGCGTTGCCTGCAGAGTTTTTTTCCTAAAATAAGATTGCAGGTATATCAAAATATCAATATCTATAATTTAAAAAAAAATCAGAGATTTTGAGCAGGAGCGCCGACTTTTATAAAACCCTCGTGGGTACTCATGAGATATGAGTAAATGTAAACAAATTTCCAGATTGTTACAATAATTGTTGTATTTATTCATATTTTTATATATGTAACATAGATAAAAATTAGGAAAATACCATATCAATTTATGTCATTTTTGCAACTATTGAGTATAATTTGAGTAATACAGAAATACATTTTTTACTGCAGATATCAATTTGTGAAATCATTAATTATACTTCTTATACAATCGCGTAAGGACAGGCAGTAAAACAGACATATACAGGCTGTCCCAAGCTGAGCGTGCATTAGAAGTTTCTAGAGAACTACAAACTACACACAGAAAAAAAAACATATAGATTAGATAAAATACTTGAGCACTATAGGGGCAGACAAAACCTAATTTACGGTATCTAAATATTTTGACTAGAATTTCTCTCCTAATATAAATAACCCTCTATGTAATTTATAAAATATTAATTATTAAGAATTAATAAACATTTTTGTGTTTGAAATGAAGTCTTCAAATAAAATATTATGTACTATACAAAAGAAAATTTAGTAGTTGAAAATATAGTTGTGTGTGATAAACAAACGTTTTATCATAGATTTATGAAGTTAAAGATGTAGCAAAGACCACTGCGCATCCTGCCAGTTTCCCACTCCAGGATTCCAAGCGCTCGGACCAATGAATAACATTTATTTGAATAACGCGCCGACTGGGGCCGATGAGCTGTCAACCGACTCTATTTTCTGCCATTTTCGTTGTGTCAGCTGTGTGAACTAATTTACCACCTACATTAGAAAAATATTTTATTAAACCAAAAAAGGGGATTTGCTAGGGTATAGATAAGCACACATGCGTACTTAGAGAAAGTTCTTATGTAGATTCAGGGTTTATGGTTATCCTTCAGCGACTTCTAAGCGAAGGAGCTTCCACCGTCCTGCTGGTTTTTCCTTTCGGATACTTATTGTTAACAAAATATAGGCCAGTAATTGCATTACAATGTTAGCTCTAGTGCCTAAAAAATTAAATACAAAATTATTAAATCTCGGATACTTCTATTACTTTATAGATAATATTACCTGAAGACATATCATCTGTCAACTCGTTTAGTACTTTCTTTATTGCGTTGTCTTTAAAAAAGTTGCCACGACTTGCATATTATATTCTAGTTGAATAAATTCATTGCATGATCAGGGAAGGAAATAATTTTCCACCTGGAAATAATTTACTATTTATACATATGTTATTATAAATTAATATCAATAAAATTGGAAATTACTTACCTACAAAATCTTTCATGATTTCTTCGAGGTCTCACTCAATCAATAATGATCTTGCTTTTCTTACATTATTACCTAATTACACATCTGACACAGACTGGTTGTTTCTATATATTGTAATATATAATATTGTAATATATATAATTTGGTAAAACAATCGAATTTCTTCACAACACAAATTAAACGTTTTTTTTAAGATGCGAACGCTGCGATGGTTAGATGGAAATAAATGACGCAATGCCTAAAATCTTATCTCTAACTAATATACAGTCTCCATTATTCCGTATCATTAGGTATCTGGGGTAGCTAAGAACTTTGTCTAATTCGTCTACAAGTTTTTGATTGTTTTAAACAAAATAATGTCTTATATATATTAATCGGTTTAAAACGTTCTACGTCTTCCGATGCCATCTCTCCATGCCTTTCTGTCTCTCCATGCACCGTCTCCGAGAGATATTTCCTCCATAAACGTGTCAATCCCTTCCTGCCAACTTCTTCTCGGTCTACCCGGTTTTCTTCTTCCTGCAGGTTTCCAGTTTATAATTTGCTTTGGGATTCTTATTTCTGCCATTCTTTGGACATGCCCGTACCATATGAGTTGACTGTTCTTTATGTCGTCCTCTATCGTATGTTTAACTTCCATAATCTCTCTTATGCGTTCATTAGTTATTCGCTCGAGTCTTGATTTGCCTGCTGATCTTCTCCAAAAATCCATCTCTGTAGCTTCCAGCATTCGTTTTGTTGTTTCCTTAATTGGCCAGACTTCACAGCTGAACGTGGTTATACTCTTTATGATGGTATTGTATATTAAAGTTTTGTTCTTGTTGTTTATGCTTCTGTCCCACAGTATTCCATTCAATACCGTGATAGTATTCCTTCCAAGTTGGTTTCGTTCTTTAATTGCTGTATCCAACAGTCCATCATTTGTGATTTGCATACCCAAATATTTGTATTTTGTGCAGCACTAAATTTTCTTCCCTTCTTCTAGCATTAGATCTTGTTGTTCTCCTCCGATACACATATATTCTGTTTTGTTAGTATTGATCTCGAGTCCCCATTTCTGATATTCTTCTATAAGCTTACATGTCATCGTAATCTTGTGCTATGATCACCTGATCTTCCGCGAAGCAAAGTGTGTAGAGCATGTTATCCCCTATGGGTACTCCCATATTTCTACATTTTTGCTTCCAACCTTTGAGAACTTGTTCGAGATATATCTTGAACAGTGTTGGTGAAATACAGCACCCTTGTTTCAGACCTTTGGTTCCATTAAATCCTGTTGTTAACTTTAACAAAAGAAAAACAAACAAAATAATGTCTTACTTTAATAAAACATTTGTTGAAACACAAACGGTATAAAATAAATTTGAGTCAAATAAAAAGGTTTTCTGTCAGGTCTACATAAAAAGGACAATAGTACTAAACAACACTTGTTTTAAAAGTAATTAGGTCCTATTTCGTTAAACTACACTATTAAAATTAATAAGCTAAAATAAAGTTTAATTTGAGCGAGAAAATATTGTGTTAGAAGAAAAAAATTATTCTTAATGTGCATAATGGATCTAGTAAATTTGACTACTGCTTTATCTGAACCCAAAAAAATACACATATAATTCAATAAATTACTCATCGGATAATAAATCTTATCTAATTACGCCAAGTTATTGTTTTCTGTGTACATAATATCTAGATCGGAGATTTTTTGCACATCACTATTTCACAGCGAGATCTATCGATTAAAAATATTTTCAATATGGCTTCACTTCCGGAAATACCGGAAGTTGACAGCAATTTTCTTATTTTGAATGGGTAGATACCCCCATTTTTTATTAAGTATGTAGGTACATACTTAATTTTTCTGTAAAATTTTATGAATTTTGATATCAAACACTCTACACCTAACATTAACCGTTTTTGAAAAAAAAAATATTTAACATTTTTGAACGAAAAAAACTGCGTGTCAAAAAAATCTGTATAGCCTAAACGACAAATTTAGTGATACCACAGTCACTGTGGCATAAAGAGAAGAAGTGGCTACACTGATAAAAAAGATAGACTTGAACTAAAGTCGTCATCGTTCTTGAAAAAAAAAATTTAGTGGCAAGAAAATTTATTTTAGCGTAAAAGAAAATATGTTCCCTGCAGAAAAACTCTCTTAACTCAAGAAAACTTGTTCTCTTGAAAAATTCGAAAATTTCTCTTGAATCTATTTTCATTCAACCAAGTGCAAGTTACTTTGTTTTAAGATCATAACAAAAATACGCTAGGAAGTACTTCATTCAAGAAACATGGCCATTTTTCCAATAGCTAAATACTCTTTTGATGAAAAATAATAACGACACGCAATGGCGATGACGAAGGACGGTATATACAATCAGTCGGCAGTCCGATCAGTCGTAGGTCGCATTTCATAGGTCTCACATCATAGTACGCACGGATTTTGTTGCTTGGAATTTTCCACTTAGAATTTTGCATAATTTGCTTTTTAAACGCATATCGTATTTTTTATGGACAAATTTTAGGATATATGGATTCTTTAAAGGAGTTTCTGAAAAAATGGAAATTAGAGCATTTATTTGCTATATTTGAAGGTAAGAGACATTTACCTAATGCACCTGTTTAGATAATGCATGCGTGACTATAGATAGAATAAGAATATAGGTATCGATATTTTTATGCAAATAATTACAAAAATTTTAGAATTTCAAGTCGTATTAAAAAATTCAAAATGTGACCAAAGCTTTTAATTTTAATAATTTATTTGCTTTACTTTGAATCATGTGATGTAACATTTTTTTGTAATATGTAGAGTGATGAACCACCCAAAAAAATACCCAAGAGTGAAGAAGCACAAATAACTACTATCGAGGAGAATAATATCACTACTACAGACCAGGAAAAACTAAATTTATTAGAAAATAATATACCTCGTAATATGCCTGTATATGATGTATAGACTTCTATTAGATCAAAATAAATTTTAGTTGAGTCAATAGTATTCGCTATTGGTTTAAGAAAAGTGTCCCTTTAATCAAGAAATGTCCCTTTTCAATCAAGAATTTTTGCATGAATCAAAGAGACTATTGTTCTTGTAGCAAGAACTTCTTTGCATATTCATTTCGAGTCAAGAGTGAAATACTTTGGACAGATAGATTCTTCTATTCTCTAAAGTAATTTTTTAAAACTTATGAAAAGATAGTTAATGCTTTGGGCAAAGAAACGTCGTTCTTGGCCCTATTGAAAAGCGCCTATCTTTTGGGTCAAACGGTCAAAGTCATATTCATTTCGACTGAGTGATCCTTTTTTTCAGTGTATCTATTTCAAAAATTAAATTGTT